TTGATGGATATGGAGAGCAAGATATGCGGCTATGGCGAGGAGGACTCGTACCGTGGTGTACTTCGCTACTGCGGCAAAGGTTTCGGTGAAGTCTAGACCTGGAATTTGGGAATAACCTTTTGCCACTAACCTTGCCTTGTACCTATCAAGTGTACCATCACCTTTTACCTTAATCTTGTACACCCACTTGACACCAATTACCTTCTTCCCTGGAGGTGGCTCAACAAGACGCCATGTACCTCTCTTCATGAGACTCTCAATCTCTTCTTCCTCGGCCTTCAACCATTGCTCTCTCTCGGGACTTGCCACTGCCTCACGACGACTCAATGGCTCTCGTGGAAGGTGTGACGCTGCCATGCATATTGCCTCTACCTTCTTGTGAATGCAATACTCGCTCTCCTCACATGTGCACCTTGATGACATGTCAACCATGAATGTGAAGGGCTTTTTTTACCTTGCGGACTCGTTTACCTTTACCCAAAGCCTCACTTGGCTGAGACAAATCAATGGTAGGGTTCGGTCTCACAGTGGTTGGATGCGTTGACACGGTCATCTGCGGCTGAGACAATGGCTGCGACATCGGCTGCGACGGCGGCACGACTGCATGATCTTCTCCCGGCGTGGAACTCTCTCGATTATCGGTGTTGACTTGAGGAATAGGTGTGGTGACTTGTGTCGGTGAAGCTGAAATGTTCGTCGGCATAGTTGGCTGTGAAGATTCTCTTGGTGGGGATCTTGAGACTAGAAGCTTGGGAATTGATGATGACGCTGCGTTGTCGAAAGTTGGAGACGGTTCGGTCTGATTGGCGCTGTTTCTTGGTGTTGAAGATGGCGGTAACTGATGACGGCCGATTCCGGGACGTGGGGGTGAAGTTGAGAAAGGTCTTGGGTGAAGAAGTGGGCTGTTGGAGCTGGTGTTGGTGGTGATTCGCTGAAGTGATCCTCGTGCTATGATCTGGCTTGACGTTGGAACCTGAAGTGATGAACGTGTGTGAGAACGAGATGTTGCGGTAATGGTTGTCTTGTTGGTAGGAAGAATTGTAGATGGTGCTGATGTAGGTACTTGGAGACTTGTAGCTGTAGGTTGCTGCTGCATTGGATGATGGTGAGCTTCTGTAGTTGCCTCTGAATTGACGGCTGGTGATGGGTTTGATGGTGTAGTGGTGGGCTGATCCGGGTGACGTTGAACTTGTGGGGTTGGTGTTGAAGTAGCTGGCTGGTTGGTGACGGTTGGCTGCTGCTCCTTTGGCGGTGATGTAACGGTGACTTCTTGGGGTGGATTGTCTTCATTTGACGGCTGAACCACATCTCCACTTGGTTGAGTAGCTGCTGGTGGCACTGGTGTGGCGCAGCTGGTCTCGTTGACGACGGCTTGCGGGAGATCGATGATGGGTCCGCTATGGTCAGAATTGGTGTCATCTCCGTCCTCCTCTTGTGTTGTTTCCTCAGGTGCTCTTGCTGGTTCCTGTTGGAGAGAGGGTGGTAGAGAAGAGGAAGAGGAAAACTTGTGCCAATCTGCAAGGGACATGTCTTCATAGAAGACCACATCCCTTGAAACCACTTCTCGCTTGGTGACGGGATCCCAAAGGACCCATCCCTTGCTCTCGTTGCTCATGTCGATGAAGAGGCCCCAATGAGCTCTGCTGTCCAGCTTGACTCTCTTTGCATCTGGAACACGGTATTGGGTCATGGAACCAAAAACACGAAGCATAGACAGATCTGGTTTAACTCCAAACCAAGCCTCATATGGCGTTACACCATCTGGTAGGGGCCTTGTGGGTCTCCTGTTGCAAACATAGATTGCCATAGTGATTGCCTCACCCCACCAGAGCTTGTCAAGGCCCTTAAACTGAAGAAAAGTGGTAGCTATTGCTTGAATAGTGTGATGAAACCTCTCTGCAACTCCATTTTGCTGAGGACTATAGGGACAAGTGAACTGTTGTTTGATGCCCAATGCCAACAACTCCCCCTGAAATGCTTTTCCCATGTACTCACCTCCTCGGTCCGACCTCAAGGTGAGTAACTTCTTCCCTGACTCTCTCTCAACAAGTGCTAGCCATTGCTTGAAACACTTGTGAACTTCATCCTTGGTGTTGATGAAAAATGACCACGAGAAACGACTCTTGTCATCAATGAAAGACACCAAATATCTCTTACCGTTTCGAGTAGGGTCTCGCATGGGGCCAAATACATCAGTGTGGACCAACTATAGGAGGTCCCTTGACTGAGACTTAGAAGGGAAAAATGGCTTTCTAGCTAGCTTACCCTCAACACAAGATGGACATGGAACGGAAGAAAGGGACTTGACTGCAATTTCACTCAAACTCAATCCTTCCACGCTCTTGTGATTCACCAACTCTTTCAATGCTTGCATTCCCAAGTGCCCCAAGCGTGCATGCCATACCTCAGCTTGGGAGATACTCCCTTTGTTGGTTGAAACAGCGGGAAGCGAGACAACGTCGTTCTTCGTATTGTTAGAACCGCGCTTGATCTCCAACTTCATCTTGTAGAGCCGCCCGGTACGCTCGCCTTCAGCCACAAAATTTCCTGCACTGTCCCACACTTTGGCTTTCCCCCCTTGCAATAGTACAGAGGCACCTTTCTCTTCAAGTTGTCCAGCTGAGAGCAAGTTTGCTCCCAAATCAGGAACAAACAAAGCTTTATTGACACAAAATGACTTACCATCCTTTTCGAACTCAAGCTTGCCGACTCCTTTGATAGGTACTTTGCCAAGATCAGCAAGTGTCACAGCTTTTGAGTCATATGAGGGCTGAAAATCCTTGAGAATGGACTGATAGGGAGTCATGGTTTCAGAACAGCCACTACCAAGGATAAACTCCTCACTACTAGTAGAAAAAACGTGCATGCAAGTGGCGGCGTTGAAAAAGGACAGGACCTTCAGAATCTTTGGACTCATTTTGACTTGTAGAATGACTTGCCATGTTTGCTATGGCTGCCTTACCCTTTTCGAATAGTAGCTGAGGTGGGGGAACCCAATTAGGAGGCTTCTTAGGACAAGCATACCACGGATGACCCCACTCATGACAACAAAAACACTCGAAATTAAACTTTTTAGCATTTGAGGCTTGGCTGAAATTATTGACTCTTGGCGTATAGACTCGTGCATTCCTAGGCTGATATTGATTGGGAATAGAAGGCCTTGGCTGGACATAGGGACTTGACTTATAGGGAGGACTTGACTGAGCAAAACGAGAGGGTTTGTATGGGTTGGAAGGTGACTGAAAATTCGTACCATAGTAAGGTTGAGGGCGGTTTGGGCTGAAATTTCCTTGCCTCTGGGATTGGTTGCCATATCTTGTAGCTGCTGCAGCACTCCACGCACCCTCGTCACTCCGCTTGTTTCGTGCAAGGTCTCGACTTTGCTGCTCGTTGACAAGGGCTTCGAAGATGAACGCACGGGTCTTCATTGATTGCGGAAGTGCTTGTAGTGTTGCACGGAAAGTGTCCCACTCCGTTGTAAGGCCGGTGAGGATGACGGTCTTGAAAAGAGACTCTGGAATCTCCAAGCCGATCGCGGCTGCTTCCTCTAGCATCGTTTCAGCTCGTTGAAGGTAGGTTTGGGCTGGTTCTTCTTCTTCCATCTTGAGACTCATGAAGCGACTCCACATCTCGGCCTGGCTGCTCTCGGATTTTGACTGGTGCATAGACTTCAGTCGGCTCCATGCTTCCTCTGCGCTGTTTGCCTTTGTAGAGCAGGGTAGGAGCGACTTCAACTGCTGCTCGTGAATGCTATTGAGTAGGTAGAGGAAGGCCTCCTTGTTGCGCCGTTCGTAGAGTCGTTTTTCAGCTTCTGAAGCATCTGCTGCTGGTTTGGCTGCTTCTCCAGTGTAGTAAGGCCAGAGATCCAGAAGGGATGCAGTGAGCTCAAACTGAGTTGCCCATGTTGAAAAATCTTTGCCGTTGAACTTGGGGAGGTGAAGCTTAGGCATGAAGGAGGTGAGTGGTGAGTATGTAGTTGAAGAACTGCCTGGTGCAACTGCTTCCACTAATCCAGTAGCTCCTGATGTTGACTCTGAAGCTCCTCCGGCTGGCTGGAGTGCAGGGCCAGATGGGTTGTCTCCCGCCATGGATGGATTGTGCTAGGATAGGAAGGTGGTGGCGCTCGGTTGATCGAAACGACGGGCTCTGATACCAACTTGCAAAACAGAGTAGCTTTGATGACTGGTAGGCTGGAAACTTGGCTGGAAAAGCTCAACAGAGCTGCTGGACTTGGCTTGATGAGAGAAAACTTCACTATGATCAAGATTAACAAGCCCACTAAAGCACAACTTCTTAAGCATTACAAACATGCAGATTGATAGCTCAAACTAGGCTGCTAGACAAGGCAACTTCCTTGGGAACTTGGGCACAATTCAGATTCCATGAACCTTGAGTGACTTGAGAGCCACATGAGGTGCATGAATAAGAAATCTCTGGAATGTACTGTTATAGCTGATTCTGTTTTGTAGAAACCTGTAGAAGCTGTCGACCCTTCTGTTTGAGAGCAATCCCGAACTGTATCGAGTCTTCGGCTGCAATCTGATTTGCTGCGGAAGTTTCTGAATTTTCGCGAAGCCTTCAATCCGTCGCCGACATTCTTGCTGCTCCTTGTGTGCAAAGGGCTGGGGCGGCAGAGACTCGATTCTCCAACAGCTTTCGCCTTAGGTTCCGTGGTTGGGCGAACCAACCCTAACAGCTCCCTCCCTCGCTTGCTGGCCCTGTCCCCTCTCTATCCCCCACCACATCTCCCCCCCCCCCCCCCCTCCACCCCCCAAGGGCGACGCTGCACGTGGGGTGCGTCAACCTCAACATCACCACTTTTGCCACCTCGCCATCCCCATGCCACCCCCATCCCCCACCCGTGCGCTTCCTCCCCCTTCCCCTCCCCCCGCAGGGCAACGCTGCACGTGGGGTTTGGCAATCTTAACTTCTCCGCCTCCTTCGCTCACCACTTCAACCGCACTCTCCAGCACATTCTCGCCTCCTGGCCAGTCACAATCATGCTACGTGGCAATTTGCAGGCCAAAACCGACACTCCTGGCATTAGTGGCAGCAGCAGCGGCAGCACAGGTGGCAGGAGTACCACCAGCACAGCTGCCACTCATTCAGAAGCAGGCGAGGGGCAGGGGGAGGGGAAAGGGGAGGGGGAGGGGCAGGGGGAGGGGAAAGGGGAGCGGGAGGGGCAGGGGGAGGGGAAAGGGGAGGGGAAAGGGGAGGGGGAGGGGCAGGGGGAGGGGAAAGGGGAGAGGAAAGGGGAGAGGAAAGGGGAGAGGGAAGGGGAGAGGGAGGGGGAGGGGGAGGGGGAGGGGGAGGGGGAGGGGGAGGGGGAGGGGGAGGGGGAGGGAGAGGGGGAGGGGGAGGGGGAGAGGGAGGAGGAGGAGGAGCAGGAGGCAGCACGGGATTGGCCAGATTCTCCGTGCAATGGGACGTCAGTGCCAGGGCGATGGGTGGTGACAGCGAATGGGTCACTCAGGTATGTCCGTGTCGACAGGTATGGATGGGTGAAGCTGGGTGCGGATGGATGAAGCTGGGTGCGGATGGGTGAAGCTGGGTGCGGATGGGTGAAGATGGGTGCAGATAGGTGTAGATGGACTGTGTGCGTGGCTGAATGAGTGTGGATAGTCTTTTGAGGCGCCTCAAACAACCTTCCCTCCTTCCGCACTCCCCCCATCCCCCCATCCTCCCTAGATTGGCTCCTACCATTGTACGGCCCCTCAAAGCCCCCCGTTCGAGTGGGTGTCAAGCAATTTATTCCCCATCCCCACTCGCCACTCCCCATCCCCATCCCCACTCGCCACTCCCCACTCGCCATCCCCACTCGCCACTCCCCACTCGCCATCCCCACACACCACTCCCCACTCCCTATCTCCACTCGCCACTCCCCACTCGCCGCTCCCCACTTGCCATCCCCACACGCCACTCCCCACTCGCCACTCCCCACTCGCCATCCCCACTCCCCACTCCCCATCCCCACTCGCCACTCCCCACTCCCCATCCCCACTTTCTACCCATCCCCACTCCCCATCCCCACTCTCTACCCATCCCCACTCCCCATCCCCACTCCCCATCCCCACTCCCCATCCCCACGCCCCACCCCCACTCCCCCTTCCCCCGATCCCCCATCCCCCCTCCTCCCCAGATGGGCATTTTACCGGTGCACGCACCCTGAAACTCCGTCTTCTGACTGGATAGCCGCGTTGCACGAGAGCGGCATTTGGGAGATCAGCGTCGTGGGGGAAAGCCACCAGCGGTACCTGGCAGCACACCTGCACTTGCTGCTCATCTGCACTTTCTCCCTGCTCACTGTGCACACTCCCGCTCCCCCACTCCCCCACTCCCCCACTCCTCCACTCCCCCACTCCCCCACTCCCTCAGTTGGGCTTTCTATTGCTGCACCCCCCGGGAGACTCCCCCATCGGACTGGATAGGCGCGCTACACGCCAAAGGCATTCATGAGGTCAGCATCGTGGGGGACAGCCACCAGCGGTACCTGGCAGCACACCTGCACTTGCTGCTCACCAGGAAGGCGGAGAGGGGTGTGAAGCGGTGGAGAGACAACCTGGTGTTCCACCCGCGTGACAGCAGCAACCGCACGCTGAGGATTAATTTCTTCTGGATCGATGAGATCTATAAGAACGGGGAGTTCGGCTGCACGTGATTGGTTGGGTCAGAGCTGGTTTTTGAGAATTCTCAAAAACCAGATCTATAAGAACGGGGAGTTCGGCTGCGCGTGAGTGGTTGGGTCAGGGTCAGGGTCAGGGGTGACTGTTTGGTGAGTTGCGACAAGACAACCTCGTGTTTGATGCGCGTGACGGCAGCAACCGCACGCTGCGAATCAACTTCTGCGCGTGAGTGGTTGGGTCAGGGTCAGGGTCAGGGGTTACTGTTTGGTGGGTTGCAATGAGTCTGCTTTTGAGTCGACTCAAAAGCAGATTCGGCTGCGCGTGAGTGGTTGGGTCAGGGTCAGGGGTGACTGTTTGGTGAGTTGCAATGAGTTGAATGGTGGAGGGGATTTCCCAGGTGGGCGCACCTGAATGGTGGAGGGTACATGCATCCAGCTCACCGCACATGAGGGAGGGGCACAACTGTGGCACGGTGGCGGGCGGGAGGGACAGCCTGGTGTTTCATGCGGAGAGACCTGGCGTGACAACAGCAACCGCACGCTGAGGATCGACTTTTACTGGATTGATGGAATTCACTTCTCCAGTACAACAACGGGGAGTTCGGCTGCGGTGGCGGGAGGGACAACCTGGTGTTTCATGCGCATGACAGCAGCAACTGCACGCTGAGAATAAAAAATTCTTTGGATTGATGGGATCTACAAGAACAGCGAATTCGGCTGCGCATGAGTGGTTGGGTGAGGGTGATTAGTGTTTTAAGTGTGATTTCCAAGTGGAGGTTCGAGTTGAGACTCTCAACTCTGAGAGTAATCGGCAGCAGCAACCGCACGATGAGAATAATATTTTATTGGATCGAGGGGATCTATAAGAACGGGGACTTTGGCTGCCCGTGAGTGATTGGTTCGAATGATGACTCGAACAGGGCTTGAAGGGATTAAATGGGATTCAATGGGATTGAATGGGATTGAATGGGCTTGAATGGGATTGAGTGGGCTTGAATGGGATTAAACGGGATTGAATGGGATTGAATGGGATTGAATGGAATTGAATGGACTTGAATAGGATTGAATGGGATTGAATGGGCTGAATTGGCTGTTCCCTCTCTTCTATCCCCATTTCCGCACCCCGCTTTCGCCTCCCTCCCTTCTCCTTCCCTTTCCCCAACTCCTTACCAGCTCCCCCAATCCCACCCCCCCGTCCCCCACCACCAGCAATCGGGGTCAGACCACCAACCAATCAGAAGAATCCCAAACACCTCTACCACTGCTTCCCCCTCCTTCCCACCTCCCTTACTCAATCCCATCCCCCCTCTCTTCCTCCCACTGAATCCCCTCCTCCCCCCATCACCAGCCATCGGGGCCAGACCACCAACCGATGTGAAGCCTTCCCAAGCATCTCACCCACTGCTGACGTCACGCTGTTTGAAGGAGGCTAATGGGCAGCTTCCTTCTGCCGCCAGCCCCTCAAGGCGCTCCGAGTGCACCTCGAGGAGTTCGCTCGCTGGGCGCTTGCCGCCGCGCCCGCAAAAAGCCGGGTTATCTTCCGAACTATCCCGTCTTTTCCAGTGGCTAAGAACCGGGTGATTATGGCAGTTAATGTGCTGCTGAAGAGGATATTCCAGGGGGGGAGAGTCTCGCTGGAGGCGGGAGGAGCGGGGGGAGAGGGAAGAGGTTTGGAGAGATTAGAGGAAGGGAGGATAGGAGGGGTGCAAGAGGCGGATGTTGGTGGGGAAGGAAGGAGAAGTGGAGGAGGGGTAGAGAAGCTGGTGTATCTTGATTCGAGCTTGCAGGTGCTACCGCAGGACTCTGAGGAGGAGGGGGAAAAAACGGAGAGAGCAGGATCACCATCACCATCATCACCATCAGCACCATCACCACTACCAGCAGCAGCAATCTGCTGAGCTGGCAGCGTTGCTAGCAGGGGCAGCAACAGTGCTGGACACGTGGCAGGTGGACGGGCCTCGGTATGCCGACATAGCAGTCCCCAACGACCATCATTACTCGGTAGTCCAGCCCACATCAGAAGGGGCAGTGGTGGTGGGGGGCGTGGGGGAGGCTCAAGTGCATGCCTTCATTCATTACCTGCTGCACCTGCTGCCCCCACCCTCTCCACGCTAGTCCAGCAGAGCTCAACGACCATCATTACTCCGTGGTCCAGGCCACTTCAGAAGGGGCAGTGGTGGTGGGGGACGTGGGGGAGGCTCAAGTGCGCGCCTTCATTCACTACCTGCTTCATGTGCTTCCTCCACTCCGTGCAAGCGCACTCTAGCTGCTGGTTCTGCTCTGCTCTCCCCAACCAACAAGCACCAATGGTGCGGCCAACAGCAGAGGGAAGGAGGGAGTGCAGGTAAACGCCCCTCAGTATGCCGACACAGCAGTCCCTAGCGACCATCATTACTCCATGGTGAAACCGACAGCACAAGGCGTAGTGGTGGGTGGTGGGGGACGTGGGCGTGGCCTTCATTCACTACCTGCTGCACCTGCTCTCTCCACTCCAAACGACATCTCTGTAGCTGCTTGCCTCATGGATGGAGGGAGGGAGGGAGGGAGGGAGAGAGGGAGGGAGGGAGGGAGGGAGGGAGGGAGGGAGGGAGGGAGGGAGGGAGGGAGGGAGGGAGGGAGGGAGGGAGCTATATAACAATTATCATGAGCTACGTTGACCCGGATAGAAGCGCACCCTTTTAAAGCCCAGCCCCCGAATTACAAAGAGGCCTTCACAAACTGTCGCCAGTTTGTGTCTCGCTCCTACAGGTTTCGGGAAAGAAAGGTTTAGGGGAGGTTTTCGAATCTCAAATATCTGCTTTCCCAATTCTGTTTCCCCGCGTTGACTTCCGTTGAGTAATTCGGGTGTTGCCCTAGTGCATGCGTTTATATCCGGGATTGCAGCATTGCGCCAAATTCGCACACGAATATGGGTGAAAGTCGCCACCAATCAGATTTGTTAACTAGTTCCTCATGTTTTCCGTCCAGATCAAGACTCGTCTGGGATGAAAAAAGGTGAAAACGCACAGGCAGTCAACTTTTCAAACGTTCGTAACAACCGTCATCGCCAGGGGCATTTTTTCAAGGGTAAAATACCCTGATCCCCCTTTCTAGAATCCATTTGTTCATGATTACCCTGATTCTGAAAGGGTGAGTGATTTTGTACCTTATCTTCAAAAGTGTGGAGTTTTTTCTACCCTGTCGAAATCAGTGTGCGCTGATTCTTACCCTTACGCGTCAGAGTACCCTCGCCACTCCCAGCCCCACTCTCCCCCATTCCCTCACTTCCCCGAGCCGCCGAGCCCCATTTTTCCGTATCCCTCGCCACTTCCCGCTCACCTCCCCCCGTTTCTCTCGCATCTCCCAGCCCCTCCCCACAATTCCCTCTCCACTCCCAGCCCCAATTCCCCCATTTCCATTACAAATCAGGGAGCTTAAAAGTTTACCCTGATTTTGACAGGGTGGAAGAAAAAATACCCTGAGAGGCAGGGTGACGTCATCAAGGCACCCTGATTCCCAAGAGTGCCCCAAAAGCAAAAATAGGCCCTGGTCATCGCCCGGATAGAAGACATATACGTGTTATCTCGTGCACTAGAAAAAATGGGTGGGTTATCCTGTATTTGGGGAGGTTTTGGGTGTCTTATAAGTCTTATAAATGGACAAAGAACCATTTAGAAGATACCCGCTCGTTATACAATTGCCCCTAACCCTTACACTGGCTTAACTCGCACACACAAATAGGTGTCTCATAATGAGGATAGCCTGCTTATAAGAGACACCCGAATAGTAGACAACGCTTGTCTACTATTCAATACTGTCTACTATCCGGGTGATGACGGAAACTTATGTTTTCAAGTGGACCCAACTAGAAGGGGGGGGGGGGTCACTATTTTAGCTGCTGGCTCTAAGCGCACTTCAAACCAAGGCTGATTTTTTTTGTTTATCTATAAAAACTTAGTTTTTGAACAAAAATACATGGCAGCAGACTATGACATTACCACACATTCCATCTTATTACATTGCATATCTGTCCTACTGCCCGCTCAGTCCCGACATAGAGTAGCTAGCTGTTGAGATAGAAAGCAGGAATGAATAGCAGAAGAGGGATTGCACTAGCAGCAGATACGATACATATCGCAAACCCTAATTTGAGTTGTACTCACTATAGATTACCCCATTGCAGACTAGACAATTATAGCATTCTGACACACCCCCATAGGCAAAGTGGGGTATGATCAGCACAGCAAGCAGTCGCAAAAGAAGTTCATAAGCACAAGTAAAGCTAGAGGCAGTCACAGAGGGCAAGTGAGGAGGAGGAGGAGGGACTGTGAGTGGAGTGGAGATAGGAGGCGACGGGTGAAGCCGCAGACACACGAGCAATAGGAGAGGCGCGCACGGTGGCTACCGGACACAAGCAAGGGTATCCGGACTACTGGAGTCACTAGCTCTGCGGCTAAGACAAGCGGCTGGAGCAACGGACCTACGGGCGACTGGCGCAGCAGGCTCGCTGGGCTATCGGAGCAAGGGTGACCCCCGGACTACTGGCGCTGCTGACGTCACGACGGCTACCTCCGTTCAACCTCCCCCAATTGTCCCACACCCCTTTCACACACCCCTTGCTGCACCTCTAGCTCCACTCCCACGACACCCCCCCTAGCGCCACTCCCTTAGCTCCCACACACCCACCCCCCTCAGTGGCAGCTGCAGCAGTGGGAGACCGAGGAGGAGGAGGAGCAGGGGACGGCTCACACACTCGCCACCCCCATACCCGCCACCCCCACACCCCCAACGCAGACGGCGCGCGCGCGGCGCGGGGCAGAAACGCGGGCAGCAGCTGGGGCGGCGTGCGAGCAGAAGCGGGGCGGCTCGCGGGTCCTTGGGGCGCTGCGACGGGCAACGTGTAGGGCGGCGCGCGGGCCCCCGGGGCGCCGCGACGGGCGACGGGAAAGGGCGACGCGCGGGCCCCCGGGACACCGCGACAGGCGACGAGAGGGGACAGTGCGCGGGCCCCCGGGGCACCGCGACGGGCGACGAAACTGTCTAACATTATATGTGTTACTGTTCTGTAGGCTACAGTGGGTTTAGCCTTAGGGGGTACAATATTCTAGGTTTTCTTACTTGTACTCCCAATCTTGCCAATGCAACCACTTCTCTCATTCTAACATGGTATTACGAGCCTAGGTTAGTAACCTAGGACCGAACGTTCCTAAGGGCCCACCGTTCCGCTCGTAGCGCCCTCGTGCGCCCTCTATTACTCGCGCCCTCGTGCACCTCGCTCCTAGTGCGCCCTCGAGCGCCCCGTTTTTCGGTCGCGTAGCCGGCTAGCCGCCCGTGCGCGGCCCGTTTTTTGCCCGCGCAGCCCGCTAGCCGCCCGCGCGCGGCTTGTTTCTAGTGCGCGCGACCCTGTAGCCGCCCATGCCATCGACGCCGCCCACGCGTAGCCCATCTTGGCCTTGCGCGGCCCCTAGAGCAGCCTGCGAACTGCCCGTCAACCAGCGCGCGCCGCCACCTCGCCTAAGCAGGCCGCCGCCCACGCGTAGGCCGCCACCCGCGCCTAGGTCATCGCCAGCACGTAGACCACCGCCTCGACCGCGCGCCGGCCCACCCTCTCTGCCCGAGCCGCGCCGCGCCGTCCTGCCCGAGCCGCGCCGTCCTGCCCGAGTCGCGCCGCCCTGACCGAGCCGCACTGCCCTACTGTGCTTCTGCTACTGCTACTGCTACTCCTCCTACTACTACTACTGTTCCTACTGCTGCTACTGCCACTATGGCAAGTCCTACCGTTCTCACTTTTGACGCTGAGGGCCGTCCGATCAAGTTTGACGTTTGGCTCGATGACCTACACCTGTTCCTCCAGATCACTGCCAAGGATGATGTTTCCCTGTTTGACCACACGTCCGGTGTAGCCCCCGCTCCTCTTGTAACTGCTGACAGTACAACTCGCTCACAGTGGCAGACCCGTGACGCTCACGCTCGCCTAGCCGTTCGCAGCCACCTGCCGTTAAATGAGCGCGAGCACTTTGGCCAGCATAAGACCGCTAAGGAGCTGTACGATGCTGTAGTTGCGCTACTCCTCCCCTGCTACTGCTGCGATAGGCCGTCTCTCGCTCCCCTACCTCTTCCCCGATCTGTCTGCCTTTGCCACTGTTGCTGACCTCATCACTCACCTTCGTACTAGTGATCTCCGCTACCGTGCCGCGCTCCCCCCCGATTTCCTGGCCAAGAACCCTCCCCCGATGTACCTCACCCTCAACCACCTAGTCACCCGCCTCCCTGACTCCCTTCACACCGTCAGGGACCACTTTCTCGCCCTCTCCCCCACCGAACTCACTGTCAACATCCTCGAGAAGGAACTCCTCTGTAGCTAAGAAGAGCATTGTAGCTGTAGGTGCCTCTCGTGGCGACCCTCGCACTCCCTTCTTTGAGGGGTGCTCCCCCTCCCCCCTCCTCCCCTCCATTGCATTTACTGCTGCCGTCGACTTCCTCGGTGCTGAAGGGGTCGGGGCTGCGTCTGCTCCTAGTGGGAGGCGCAAGGGCGGCAGGGGCAAGGGGGGCAGGGGTGGCGGAGGTGGCGGCGGGGGCAGCGGAGGTGGAGGGGGTGGAGGGGGCGGGGGTGGTGGAGGTGGTGGGAGTGGCGCTGGTGGTGGGGGGGTCAGTGGCGGAGCGGGGGGTGGGGGCAGCGGAGGTGGTGGGGGTGGTGGGGGTGGTGGTGGCAGTGGTGGCGGCAGTGGAGCGGGTGGCGGGCGCGGTGGAGCGGTGCAGCGTGGGGGGTTCGGCGGTGGCCAGAGGCAGCAGCAGCAGCATCCTAGCGAGACTCATTCGCCCCAGCAACTCCCTGAGTGGTACTCTCAGCGTGGGGGGTCTGGGGGTGGAGGTACCTGCTCGTACGTCATCCGTACAGGTGACCGCACTGGCCAGACCTGTGGGAGGTTTCACACGGCGCAGCGCTGCTCCTTTCGCCTCGACGACGCATGGCGCGAGCAGTTCCCTGGCGCCTCTGAGCTGCCCCGCTGGGCTGATCTGCTTAAGAAGGGAATTGATATCTTTGCTCTTGATTTTGATACTATCCTTGCTGCAATGTATGCATTGACTATTAGTGTTGAGGGTGACTGCTACCTGAGTGTTCTCCCGCTTTCAATCACCCCGCCCCATTCTCCCGCTTTCCATCACCCCGCCCCATTCTCCCTCCTTCCATCACCCCGCACCATTCTCCCGCCTTCCATCACCATGCCCCATTCTCCCTCCTTCCATCACCCCGCCCCGTTCTCCCGCATTCCATCACCCCGCCCCATTCTCCTGCTTTCCATCTCCCCGCCCCATACTCCCTCCTTCCATCACCCCGCCCCATTCTCCCGCTTTCCATCACCCCGCCCCATTCTCCCTCCCTCCATCACCCCGCCCCATTCTCCTGCTGTCCATCACACTGCCCCATTCTCCCGCTTTCCATCACCCTGCCCCATTCTCCCTCCCTCCATCACCCCGCCCCATTCTCCTGCTGTCCATCACACCGCCCCATTCTCCCGCTTTCCATAACCCCGCCCCATTCTCCCGCTTTCCATCACCCCGCCCCATTCTCCCGCTTTCCATCACCCCGCCCCATTCTCCCGCTTTCCATCACCTCGCCCCATTCTCCCGCTTTCCATCACCCTGCCCCATTCTCCCGATTTCCATCACCCCGCCCCATTCTCCCGCTTTCCATCACCCCGCCCCATTCTCCCGCTTTCTGTCACCCCGCCCCATTCTCCCTCTTTCCATCACCCCGCCCCATTCTCCCGCTTTCCATCACCCCGCCCCATTCTCCCGCTTTCCATCACCCCGCCCCATTCTCCCGCTTTCCATCACCCTGCCCCATTCTCCCGATTTCCATCACCCCGCCCCATTCTCCCGCTTTCAATCACCCCGCCCCATTCTCCCGCTTTCCATCACCCCGCCCCATTCTCCCGCTTTCCATCACCCCGCCCCATTCTCCCGCTTTCCATCACCCCGCCCCATTCTCCCTCCTTCCATCACCCCGCCCCTCTCTCCCCCCTTCCATCACCCCGCCCCATTCTCCCGCTTTCCATCACCCCGCCCCATTCTCCCGCTTTCCATCAACCCGCCCCATTCTCCCTCCTTCCATCACCCCGCCCCATTCTCCCTCCTTCCATTACCCCGCCCCATTTCCATCACCCCGCCCCATTCTCCCGCTTTCCATCACCCCGCCCCATTCTCCCGTTTTCCATCACCCCGCCCCATTCTCCCGCTTTACATCACCCCGCCCCATTCTCCCGCTTTCCATCACCCCGCCCCATTCTCCCGCTTTCCATCACCCCGCCCCATTCTCCCGCTTTCCATAACCCCGCCCCGTTCTCCCGCTATCAATCACCCCGCCCCATTCTCCCGCTTTCCATCACCCCGCCCTATTCTCCCGCTTTCCATTACCCCACCCCATTCTCCAGCTTTCAATCACCCCGCCCCATTCTCCCGCTTTCAATCACCCCGCCCCATTCTCCCGCTTTCCATCACCCCGCCCCATTCTCCCGCTTTCCATAACCCCGCCCCGTTCTCCCGCTATCAATCACCCCGCCCCATTCTCCCGCTTTCCATCACCCCGCCCTATTCTCCCGCTTTCCATTACCCCACCCCATTCTCCCGCTTTCAATCACCCCGCCCCATTCTCCCGCTTTCAATCACCCCGCCCCATTCTCCCGCTTTCCATCACCCCGCCCCGTTCTCCCTCCTTCCATCACCCCGCCCCTCTCTCTCCCCTTCCATCACCCAGCCCCATTCTCCCGCTTTCCATCACCCCGCCCCATTCTCCCGCTTTCCATCACCCCGCCAAATTTTCCCGCTTTCCATCACCCCGCCCCATTCTCCCGCTTTCCTTCACCCCGCCCCATTCTCCCTCCTTCTATCACCCCGCCCCATTCTCCCGCTTTCCATCACCCCGCCCCATTCTCCCGCTTTCCATCACCCCGCCCCATTCTCCCGCTTTCCATCACCGCGCCCCATTCTCCCGCTTTCCATAACCCCGCCCCGTTCTCCCGCTATCAATCACCCTGCCCCATTCTCCCGCTTTCCATCACCCCGCCCCATTCTCCCGCTTTCAATTACCCCGCCCCATTCTCCCTCTTTCCATCACCCCGCCCCATTCTCCCGCTTTCCATCACCCCGCCCCATTCTCCCAATTTCCATCATCCCGCCCCATTCTCCCGCTTTCAATCACCCCGCCCCATTCTCCCGCTTTCCATTACCCCGCCCCATTCTCCCGCTTTCAATCACCCCGCCCCATTCTCCCGCTTTCCATCACCCCGCCCATTCTCCCTCTTTCCATCACCCCGCCCCATTCTCCCGCTTTCCATCACCCCGCCCCATTCTCCCAATCTCCATCATCCCGCCCCATTCTCCCGCTTTCAATCACCCCGCCCCATTCTCCCGCTTTCCATTACCCCGCCCCAATCTCCCGCTTTCAATCACCCCGCCCCATTCTCCGCTTTCCATCACCCCGCCCCATTGTCTTGCTTTCCATCACCGCGCCAAATTTTCCCGCTTTCCATCACCCCGCCCCATTCTCCCGCTTTTCATCACCCCGCCCCATTCTCCCTCCTTCCATCACCCCGCCCCATTCTCCCGTTTTCCATCACCCCGCCCCATTCTCCTGCTTTCCATCACCCCGCCCCATTCTCCTGCTTTCCATCACCCCGCCCCATTCTCCCGCTTTCAATTACCCTGCCCCATTCTCCCTCCTTCCATCACCCCGCCCCATTCTCCCGATTTCCATCACCCCGCCCCATTCTCCCGCTTTCCATCACCCCGCCCCATTCTCCCAATTTCCATCATCCCGCCCCATTCTCCCGCTTTCAATCACCCCGCCCCATTCTCCCGCTTTCCATCACCCCGCCCCATTCTCTCGCTTTCCATCACCCCGCCCCGTTCTCCCTCCTTCCATCACCCCGCCCCATCCTCCCTCCTTCCATCACCCTGCCCCATTCACCCGCTTTCCATCACCCCGCCCCATTCACCCGCTTTCCATCACCCCGCCCCATTCTCCCGCTTTCCATCACCCCGCCCCATTCTCCCGCTTTCCATCACCCCGCCCCATTCTCCCGCTTTCCATCACCCCGCCTCATTCTCCCGCTATCAATCACCCCGCCCCATTCTCCCGCTTTCCATCACCCCGCCCCATTCTCCCGCTTTCCATCACCCTGCCCCATTCTCCCGCTATCAATCACCCCGCCCCATTCTCCCGCTTTCCATCACCCCGCCCCATTCTCCCGCTTTCCATCACCCCGCCCCATTCTCCCGCTTTCCATCACCCCGCCCCATTCTCCCGCTTTCAATCACTCCGCCACATTCTCCCGCTTTCAATCACCCTGCCCCATTCTCCCGCTTTCCATCATCCCGCCCCATTCTCCCTCCCTTCATCACCCCGCCCCATTCTCCTGCTGTCCATCACACTGCCCCATTCTCCCGCTCTCCATCACCCCGCCCCATTCTCCCGCTTTCTATCACCCCGCCAAATTCTCCCGCTTTCCATCACCCCGCCCCATTCTCCCGCTTTCCTTCACCCCGCCCCATTCTCCCTCCATCCATCACCACGCCCCATTCTCCCGCTTTCCATCATCCCGCCCCATTCTCCCGCTTTCCATCACCCCGCTCTATTCTCCCGCTTTCCATCACCCCGCCCCATTCTCCCGCTTTCCATCACCCCGCCTCATTCTCCCTCCCTCCATCACCCCGCCCCATTCTCCTGCTGTCCATCACACCACCCCATTCTCCCGCTTTCTATCACCCCGCCCCGTTCTCCCTCCTTCCATCACCCCGCCCCATTCTCCCGCTTTCCATCACCCCGCCCCATTCTCCCGATTTCCATCACCCCGCCCCATTCTCCCTCCTTCCATCACCCCGCCCCATTCTCCCTCCTTCCATCACCCCTCCCCATTTCCATCACCGCGCCCTATTCTCCCGCTTTCCATCACCCCGCCCCATTCTCCCGCTTTCCATCACCCCGTTCCATTCTACGTTTTCCATCACCCCGCCCCATTCTCCCGCTTTCCATCACCCCGCCCCATTCTCCCGCTTTCCATCACCCCGCCGTATTCTCCCGCTTTCCATCACCCCGCCCCATTCTCCCATTTTCCATCACCCCGCCCCATTCTCCCGATTTCCATCACCCCGCCCCATTCTCCCGCTTTCCATCACCCCGCCCCATTCTCCCGCTTTCCATCACCCCGCCCCATTCTCCCGCTTTCACTCACCCCGCCCCATTCTCCCGCTTTCTATCACTGCTCCCCATTCTAGCTCCTTCCATCACTCTGCCCCATCCCCCCTCCTTCCATCACCCCGCCCCATCCTCCCTCCTTCCATCACCCTGCCCCATTCACCCGCTTTCCATCACCCCGCCCCATTCACCTGCTTTCCATCACTCCGCCCCATTCTCCCGCTTTCAATCACCCCGTCCCGTTCTCCCGCTTTCCATCACCCCGCCCCATTCTCCCTCCCTCCATCACCCCCCCCCATTCTCCCCAACTGTCCATCACACCGCCCCATTCTCCCGCTTTCCATCACCCCGCCCTATTCTCCCGCTTTCCATCACCCCGCCCCATTCTCCCGCTTTCCATCACCCCACCCCATTCTCCCGCTTTCCATCACCCCGCCCCATTCTCCCGCTTTCCATCACCCCGCCCTATTCTCCCGCTTTCCATTACCCCGCCCCATTCTCCCGCTTTCAATCACCCCGCCCCATTCTCCCGCTTTCAATCACCCCGCCCCATTCTCCCGCTTTCCATCACCCCACCCCATTCTCCCTCCTTCCATCACCTCGCCCCTCTCTCTCCCCTTCCATCACCCCGCCCCATTCTCCCGCTTTCCATGACCCTGCCCCATTCTCCCGCTTTCCATCACCCCGCCAAATTTTCCCGCTTTCCATCACCCCGCCCCATTCTCCCGCTTTCCTTCACCCCGCCCCATTCTCCCGCTTTCCATCACCCCGCCCCATTCTCCCGTTTTCCATCACCCCGCCCCATTCTCCTGCTTTCCATCACCCCACCCCATTCTCCCGCTTTCCATCTCCGCGCCCCATTCTCCCGCTTTCAATTACCCCGCCCCATTCTCCCGCTTTCCATCACCCCGCCCCATTCTCCTGCTTTCCATCACCCCGCCCCATTCTCCCAATTTCCATCATCCCGCCCCATTCTCCCGCTTTCAATCACCCCGCCCCATTCTCCCGCTTTCAATGACCCCGCCCCATTCTCCCTCTTTCCATCACCCCGCCCCATTCTCCCTCCTTCCAACACCCCGCCCCATTCTCCCTCCTTCCATCACCCCGCCGCATTTCCATCACCGCGACCTATTCTCCCGCTTTCCATCACCCCGCCCCATTCTCCCGCTTTCAATCACCCCGCTCCATTCTCCCGCTTTCCATCACCTCGCCCCATTCTCCCGCTTTCTGTCACCCCGCCCCATTCTCCCGCTTTCTGTCACTTCGCCCCATTCTCACTCCTTCCATCACTCTGCCCCATCCCCCCTCCTTCCATCACCCCGCCCCATCCTCCCTCCTTCCATCACCCTGCCCCATTCACCCGCTTTCCATCACCCCGCCCCATTCTCCCGCTTTCCATCACCCTGCCCCATTCTCCCGCTTTCCATCACCCCGCCCCATTCTCCCGCTTTCCATCACCCCGCCCCATTCTCCCGCTATCAATCACCCCGCCCCATTCTCCCGCTTTCCATCACCCCGCCCCATTCTCCCACTTTCCATCACCCCGCCCCATTCTCCCGCTTTCAATCACCCCGCCCAATTCTCCCGCTTTCCATCACCCCGCCCCATTCTCCCGCTTTCAATCACTCCGCCACATTCTCCCGCTTTCAATCACCCCGCCCCATTCTCCCGCTTTCCATCATCCCGCCCCATTCTCCCTCCCTCCATCACCCCGCCCCATTCTCCTGCTGTCCATCACACCGCCCCATTCTCCCGCTTTCCATCACCCCGCCCCATTCTCCTGCTTTCCATCACCCCGCTCCATTCTCCCGCTTTCCATCACCCCTCCCCATTCTCCTGCTTTCCATCACCCCGCCTCATTCTCCCTCCCTCCATAACCCCGCCCCATTCTCCTGCTGTCCATCACACCACCCCATTCTCCCGCTTTCCATCACCCCGCCCCGTTCTCCCTCCTTCCATCACCCCGCCCCTCTCTCCCCCCTTCCATCACCCCGCCCCATTCTCCCGCTTTCCATCACCCCGCCCCATTCTCCCGATTTCCATCACCCCGCCCCATTCTCCCTCCTTCCATCACCCCGCCCCATTCTCCCACCTTCCATCACCCCGCCCCATTTCCATCACCGCGCCCTATACTCCTGCTTTCCATCACCCCGCCCCATTCTCCCGCTTTCCATCACCCCGTTCCATTCTCCCGTTTTCCATCACCCCGCCCCATTCTCCCGCTTTCCATCACCCCGCCCCATTCTCCCGCTTTCCATCACCCCGCCCTATTCTCCCGCTTTCCATCAACCCGCCCCATTCTCCCGTTTTCCATCACCCCGCCCCATTCTCCCGCTTTCCATCACCCCGCCCCATTCTCCCGCTTTCCATCACCCCGCCCCATTCTCCCGCTTTCCATCACCCCGCCCCATTCTCCCGCTTTCCATCACCCCGCCCCATTCTCCCGTTTTCTGTCACCCCGCCCCATTCTCCCGCTTTCTATCACTGCGCCCCATTCTCACTCCTTCCATCACTCTGCCCCATCCCCCCTCCTTCCATCACCCCGCCCCATCCTCTCTCCTTCCATCACCCTGCCCCATTCACCCGCTTTCCATCACCCCGCCCCATTCACCCGCTTTCCATCACCCCGCCCCATTCTCCCGCTTTCCATCACCCCGCCCCATTCTCCCGCTTTCCATCACCCCGCCCCATTCTCCCGCTATCAATCACCCCGCCCCATTCTCCTGCTTTCCATCACCCCGCCCCATTCTCCCGCTTTCCATCACCCCGCCCCATTCTCCCACTTTCAATCACTCCGCCCCATTCTCCCGCTTTCAATCACCCTGCCCCATTCTCCCGCTTTCCATCACCCCGCCCCATTCTCCCTCCCTCCATCACCCCGCCCCATTCTCCCCAACTGTCCATCACACCGCCCCATTCTCCCGCTTTCCATCACCCCGCCCCATTCTCCCTCCTTCCATCACCCCGCCCTATTCTCCCGCTTTCCATCACCCCGCCCCATTCTCCCGCTTTCCATCACCCCGCTCCATTCTCCCGCTTTCCATCACCCCGCCTCATTCTCCCGCTTTCAATCACCCCGCTCCATTCTCCTGATTTCCATCACCCCGCCCCATTCTCCCGCTTTCAATCACCCCGCCCCAATCTCCCGCTTTCCATCACCCCGCCCCATTCTCCGGCTTTCTGTCACCCCGCCCCATTCTCCCGCTTTCTGTCACTACGCCCCATTCTCCCTCCTTCTATCACTCCGCCCCATCCCCCTTCTTTCCATCACCCCGCCCCATCCTCCCTCCTTCCATCACCCCGCCCCATTCTCCCGCTTTCAATCACCCCGCCCCATTCTCCCGCTTTCCATCACCCCGCCCCATTCTCCCGCTTTCTGTCACCCCGCCCTTTTCTCCCGCTTTTTGTCACTGCGCCCCATTCTCCCTCCTTCCATCACTCTGCCCCATCCCCCCTCCTTCCATCACCCCGCCCCATCCTCCCTCCTTCCATCACCCTGCCCCATTCACCCGCTTTCCATCACCCCGCCTTATTCTCCCGCTTTCCATCACCCCGCCCCATTCTCCCGTTTTCCATCACCCCGCCCCATTCTCCCGCTTTCCATCACCCCGCCCCATTCTCCTGCTTTCCATCACCCCGCCCTTTTCTCCCGCTTTCCATCACCCCGCCCCATTCTCCCGTTTTCCATCTCCCCGCCCCATTCTCCCGCTTTCCATCACCCCGCCCCATTCTCCCGCTTTCCATCACCCCGCCCCATTCTCCCGCTTTCAATCACCCCGCCCCATTCTCCCGCTGTCCATCACCCCGCCCCATTCTCCCGCTTTCTGTCACCCCGCCCTTTTCTCCCGCTTTTTGTCACTGCGCCCCATTCTCCCTCCTTCCATCACTCTGCCCCATCCCCCCTCCTTCCATCACCCCGCCCCATCCTCCCTCCTTCCATCACCCTGCCCCATTCACCCGCTTTCCATCACCCCGCCCCATTCACCCGCTTTCCATCACCCCGCCCCATTCTCCCGCTTTCCATCACCCCGCCCCATTCTCCCGCTTTCCATCACCCCGCCCCATTCTCCTGCTTTCCATCACCCCGCCCCATTCTACCGCTATCAATCACCCCGCCCTATTCTCCCGCTATCAATCACCCCGCCCTATTCTCCCGCTTTCCATCACCCCGCCCCATTCTCCCGCTTTCCATCACCCCGCCCCATTCTCCCGCTTTCCATCACCCTGCCCCATTCTCCCGCTTTCCATCACCCTGCCCCATTCTCCCGCTTTCCATCACCCCGCCCCATTCTCCTGCTTTCCATCATCCCGCCCCATTCTCCTGCTTTCCATAACCCGGCCCCATTCTCCAGCTATCAATCATTCCGCCCCATTCTCCCGCTTTCCATCACCCCGCCCCATTCTCCCGCTTTCCATCACCCCGCCCCATTCTCCGGCTTTCCATCACCCCGCCCCATTCTCCTGCTTTCCATCACCCCGCCCCATTCTCCCGCTATCAATCACCCCGCCCCATTCTCCCGCTTTCAATCACCCCGCCCCATTCTCCCGCTTTCCATCACCCCGCCCCATTCTCCCGCTTTCCATCACCCCGCCCCATTCTCCCGCTTTCCATCACCCCGCCCCATTCTCCCGCTTTCCATCACCCTGCCCCATTCTCCCGCTTTCCATCACCCTGCCCCATTCACCCGCTTTCCATCACCCCGCCCCATTCTCCTGCTTTCCATCACCCCGCCCCATTCTCCCGCTATCAATCACCCCGCCCCATTCTCCCGCTTTCAATCACCCCGCCCCATTCTCCCGCTTTCCATCACCCCGCCCCATTCTCCCGCTTTCCATCACCCCGCCCCATTCTCCCGCTTTCAATCACCCCGCCCCATTCTCCCGCTTTCCATCACCCCGCCCCATTCTCCCGCTTTCCATCACCCCACCCCATTCTCCCGCTTTCCATCACCCTGCCCCATTCTCCCGCTTTCCATCACCCCACCCCATTCTCCCGCTTTCCATCACCCCGCCCCATTCGCCCGCTTTCCATCACCCCGCCCCATTCTCCCGCTTTCAATCACCCCGCCCCATTCTCCCGCTTTCCATCACCCCGCCCCATTCTCCCGCTTTCAGTCACCCCGCCCCATTCTCCCGCTTTCTGTCACTGCGCCCCATTCTCCCTCCTTCCATCACTCTGCTCCATCCCCCCTCCTTCCATCACCCCGCCCCATCCTCCCTCCTTCCATCACCCTGCCCCATTCACCCGCTTTCCATCACCCCGCCCCATTCACCCGCTTTCCATCACCCCGCCCCATTCTCCCGCTTTCCATCACCCCGCCCCATTCTCCGGCTTTCCATCACCCCGCCCCATTCTCCTGCTTTCCATCACCCCGCCCCATTCTCCCGCTATCAATCACCCCGCCCCATTCTCCCGCTTTCAATCACCCCGCCCCATTCTCCCGCTTTCCATCACCCCGCCCCATTCTCCCGCTTTCCATCACACCGCCCCATTCTCTCGCTTTCCATCACCCCGCCCCATTCTCCCTCCTTCCATCACCTCGCCCCATTCTCCCGCTTTCCATCACCCCGCCCCATTCTCCCGCTTTCCATCACCCCGCCCCATTCTCCCGCTTTCCATCACCCCGCCCCATTCTTCCACTTTCCATCACCCCGCCCCATTCTCCCGCTTTTTATCACCCCGCCCCATTCTTCTGCTTTTCATCACCCCGCCCCATTCTCCCGCTTTCCATAACCCCGCCCCATTCTTCCTCCTTCCATCACCCCGCCCCTCTCTCCCCCCTTCCATCACCCCGCCCCATTCTCCGGCTTTCCATCACCCCGCCCCATTCTCCCGCTTTCCATCACCCCGCCCCATTTTCCCTCCTTCCATCACCCCGCCCCATTTTCCCTCTTTCCATCACCCCGCCCCATTTCCATCACCCCGCCCTATTCTCCCGCTTTCCATTACCCCGCCCCATTCTCCCGCTTTCCATCACCCCGCCCCATTCTCCCGTTTTCCATCACCCTGACCCATTCTCCCGCTTTCCATCACCCCGCCCCATTCTCCCGCTTTCCATCACCCGGCCCCATTCTCCCGCTGTCCATCACACCGCCCTTTTCTCCTGCTTTCCATCACCCCGCCCCATTCTCCCGCTTTCCATCACCCCGCCAAATTCTCCCGCTTTCCATCACCCCGCCCCATTCTCCCTCCTTCCATCACCCCGCCCAATTCTCCCGCTTTCCATCACCCCGCCCCATTCTCCCTCCTTCCATCACCCCGCCCAATTCTCCCGCTTTCCTTCACCCCGCCCCATTCTCCCTCCTTCCATCACCCCGCCCAATTCTCCCGCTTTCCATTACCCCGCCCCATTCTCCCGCTTTCCATCACCCCGCTCCATTCTCCCGCTTTCCATCACCCCGCCCCCTTCTCCCACTTTCCATCACCCCGCCTCATTCTCCCGCTTTCAATCACCCCGCTCCATTCTCCCGATTTCCATCACCGCGCCCCATTCTCCCGCTTTCCATCACCCCGCCCAATTCTCCCGCTTTCCATCACCCCGCCCCATTCTCCCGCTTTCCATCACCCCGCCCCGTTCTCCCTCCTTCCATCGCCCCACCCCTCTCTCCCCCCTTCCATCACCCCGCCCCATTCTCCCGCTTTCCATCACCCCGCCCCATTCTCCCGCTTTCCATCACCCCGCCCCATTCTCCCTCCTTCCATCACCCCGCCCCATTCTCCCTCCTTCCATCATCCCGCCCTATTCTCCCGCTTTCCATCACCCCGCCCCATTCTCCCGTTTTCCATCACCCCGCCCCATTCTCCCACTTTCCATCACCCCGCCCCATTCTCCCGCTTTCCATCACCCCGCCCCATTCTCCCTCCCTCCATCACCCCGCCCCATTCTCCTGCTGTCCATCACCCCGCCCCATTCTCCCGCTTTCCATCACCCCGCCCCATTCTCTCGCTTTCCATCACCCCGCCAAATTCTCCCGCTTTCCATCACCCCGCCCTATTCTCCTGCTTTCCATCACCCCGCACCATTCTCCCTCCTTCCATCACCCCGCCCCATTCTCCCGCTTTCCATCACCCCGCCCCATTCTCCCGCTTTCCATCACCCCGCCCCATTCTCCCGCTTTCCATCACCCCGCCCCATTCTCCCGCTTTCCATCACCCCGCCCCATTCTCCCGCTTTCCATCACCCCACCCCATTCTCCCGCTTTCAATGACCCCGCCCCATTCTCCCTCTTTCCATCACCCCGCCCCGTTCTCCCGCTTTCCATCACCCCGCCCCATTCTCCCGCTTTCCATCACCCCGCCCCATTCTCCCGCTTTCCATCACCCCGCCCCTTTCTCTTGCTTTCAATCACCCCGCCCCATTCTCCCGCTTTCCATCACCCCGCCCCATTCTCTCGCTTTCAATCACCCCGCCCCATTGTCCCGCTTTCCATCACCCCGCCTCATTCTCCCGCTTTCCATCACCCCGCCCCGTTCTCCCACTTTCCATCACCCCGCCCCTCTCTCCCCCCTTCCATCACCCCACCCCATTCTCCCGCTTTCCATCATCCCGCCCCATTCTCCCGCTTTCCATCACCCCGCCCCATTCTCCCTCCTTCCATCACCCCGCCCCATTCTCCCTCCTTCCATCACCCCGCCCCATTTCCATCACCCCGCACTACTCTCCCGCTTTCCATCACCCCGCCTTATTCTCCCGCTTTCCATCACCCCGCCCCATTCTCCCGTTTTCCATCACCCCGCCCCATTCTCCCGCTTTCCATCACCCCGCCCCATTCTCCCGCTTTCCATCACCCCGCCCCATTCTCCCGTTTTCCATCTGCCCGCCCCATTCTCCCGCTTTCCATCACCCCGCCCCATTCTCCCGCTTTCCATCACCCCGCCCCATTCTCCCGCTTTCAATCACCCCGCCCCATTCTCCCGCTTTCCATCACCACGCCCCATTCTCCAGCTATCAATCACCCCGCCCCATTCTCCCGCTTTCCATCACCCCGCCCCATTCTCCCGTTTTCCATCACCCCGCCCATTCTCCCGCTTTCCATCACCTCGCCCCATTCTCCCGCTTTCCATCACCCCGCCCTTTTCTCCCGCTTTCCATCACCCCGCCCCATTCTCCCGTTTTCCATCTCCCCGCCCCATTCTCCCGCTTTCCATCACCCCGCCCCATTCTCCCGCTTTCCATCACCCGGCCCCATTCTCCCGCTTTCAATCACCCCGCCTCATTCTCCCGCTTTCCATCACCCCGCCCCATTCTCCCGCTTGTTATGTGATGCTATCATTTGCATTCACGTCTGTCTGCCTCCCATCATGTGTTCGTGTGTTGCATGTGCGTGCGCAAGAATTTGTGTTTTCTGTGGTTTGGATTTTCTGAGTGTGTGTGAATGTTATTTGGCTTGAGCAGATATCTGAAGTGACTTCACTGCTCAAGAGCTTTTCGACGAACCAAGAATCACTTCAATCGGAGCATGAACAAGAAAGTTACGAACGTTGGAGTCCGTATGCTTTTGATAATTTGGTTGTGGTGACCATGGAGAGTTGTGGGGTTGACTCAATATGGGGTACAGACTTTTTGGGGTTGGGAAATTCGTCACTACTACTGTAGTTGCTGCCAATTGGTTGGGAGAAACCAAACCAGGTTGGCAAGTGTGGCCAAGTTGGGTTGAGGTGGATTGTGGAGGCTGGGATAGTGACAAAGGTCAAAGTTGGGTTGCCTATGGAGAAGGGAATTGTGTGGCATGGAGTTTTCTTTGGTTGGGGACTCCTTGGGACCTTACCTCTCGTCCTCCTCTTTCCTCCTACCTGGTTTAGTGCTACTCTAACTCTCTTGTGTGCAACTCTTGTGAACTTGTGAAACTATTGTGAGTGAATTTAATTTCTATGTGGCAGCATACCCCCTGGTGCGCCGAGAAGCATAACTCGAGATTTACTCCACTTTTCGATACGATTCAAATTGGGAATGATAGCCCCTAACAAGGGCTATAACATACTTGAGTTTGAAACGATTCTAACCGTGCACTTTTCGTCGACAACGTTTCTTGTGAAGTCACGGTTTCTGTCCAGAATTTCAAGCTAACGATTTTGAGAAATTTAGGCTCCTTATCTTCACAGACTCGATCCTTAGTCTCTAACACCGCTTTCTGTCACCCCGCCCCATTCTCCCGCTTTCTGTCACTGCGCCCCATTCTCCCTCCTTCCATCACTCTGCCCCATCCCCCCTCCTTCCATCACCACGCCCCATCCTCCCTCCTTCCATGACCCTGCCCCATTCACCCGCTTTCCATCACCCCGCCCCATTCACCCGCTTTCCATCACCCCGCCCCATTCTCTCGCTTTCCATCACCCCGCCCCATTCTCCCGCTTTGTATCACCCCGCCCCATTCTCCTGCTTTCCATCACCCCGCCCCATTCTCCTGCTTTCAATCACCCCGCCCCATTCTCCCGCTTTCAATCACCCCGCCCCATTCTCC